TCATCCTGGAGGCCTGTAGAACAGGGCCTGCGGTGGCTGTGTTTGCCCCTCAGCCTTTTCTGGTTTCCTTAGACGGTTTATTCCAGCATCCACTGAAAGGGACAAGTTTCTGGACTGCACATTCTCTCTTGCAGCTCCCTCTGAAAGCAGAGTTTCTAGTCTAGAAGGAAGTTTGCCTGATGAGCAAAATGTGCTTTTTACACCAAACACAGAAACGAGTCGCAGGAAGTTTCTTCAGTTGCCACAGCTTTCTCGCCATTGGAAGGGATGCATGTGAGAGAAACCAGTCCTGTGTTTGCCTCCCAGGTGCTGGGGCAGGCCTGCACACTCAACACTGAGCCGGAGAGATGGACCATCACCTACAGCCAGGCCTGCTGCTATGAGGGTGCATTGAATGAGCAACATTAGCAAGAGAGCCTTGAAATTCAGGCTGGTTTTCCAGTGACCTCACACCCTTCCCTGCACACGCTGACTTCCACTTTGCTGTAGTGGCTGCCGAGGCTGCCAGGAAGCACCATCCCAAGCTGTGTCTGCCAGAAGGTCTATTGTCAAGTTGTGAGCTGTCTACAAGCACAGCACAGGTGGGGCTCAGTTAAGATGGACGTGTGCACGTCAGAAGCTCAGCACCCCCAGTCCCTGAATAATTCTTGGAGCTCACAGCCCTGGGTTGCACCTACAGACTCCAGAGAGCAACTGCCAGTCTCACAGAAACCTGGGATGTGGTCCTCTTAAGAACAGGGTTCCCTCACCACTGCTCCACTCAGGGTGCCCCTTTGTGTCATTCTCAGCTCTGGCACAAAAGAAGGAAGAAAGCAACTTGGCTTCAGCCTAAAGCTACATGGGGGGAAAAAAAGAGCTGGGGGGGTGGTCTAAATAAACCTCTTTCAGACTTCTCTCTTCTAGTGATCTAATGCTTAACTCTGCCACCATTCCTGGGTCACATAAAAGAAAACAAGGAGGTCATCTGGTCCCTGCCACCAGATCACCCTGCTGGTAAACTTCAGCCAGACCTTAGAACCATGGCATAGAGAGGAAATCCTGGGATGGCAGTCTAGCTGCAGCCAGGCTCTCTTACTTCACCTGGAGCCTCCAGGCTGCCACCAGAGCACAACTTTCACTTCCCTCTGTTGTCACCAGAGTCACAACAGTTAGGGGCTTTTTCCAACATTTAGTCAACAGACAGACTCAGCCTGGATGTGGCTGAATATGAACACAAAGACATCTTGAGCCAGGATAGCCACGCTCTCCAACCAGAGGGCACAGGACAGCTCCTAGCTAGTAGAGAACCAGACTCCAGGTCCTGGCCTCTCCTGTGCCTGCCTCGCCTGGGTAGAAACTTAAGGAACATTCATGAAGCTTCATTTAGATAAGATGATATACACACAAGCCCACACCTACTCACTCATTGGAAGAACCACAGAACTCTGGTGATGTGGCTGTGTCTAGGATCGGTCACTTTGCCTTGGAATATCTGCAAAGTTTTCTAGGAAGAGCCTTGGAACCTTGAGACTGGAGCAGTTGTCATTTAATGCTGAAGATCTAGGTAGGGCGATGACTGCCCATAACTGACTTGCCTCAGGTGTCTCAAGAGATGCCCTGATACCTGAGTGGCCTACAAGGTGCCACTATAAAGAGAGCTGACTCCTTAGTGCACAGACGCCCTTATTCTAAGACTGCTCAGACATATCCACTGCCCACCCTATGAGATCTAGTGATGTCTCACCCACTCCCCAAATTTTATAACTACGTGGCTGTCTCCTGCACATCCTCTCTTCCCTTCTTATCCCAGACACTTCTGAAAGGGAACTAGAAGCCCATTGCTCCCTGACAAAGCTGCTTTCAGACCCTCTGTCCTCCCAACCCACCTGCTGAGGACCCTGACGCTGAGTCCATTGAGAAGTGCTCTGCTTCACGCACGCACACACACACACACACACACACACACACACACACACACAAAGACATTCTCTGGAGAACTATCAAGGCCCATGACAGTGTATTCTCTACTTTTCACCACCTTTTCAGGACAGACTTGAACAAGGAAGGAGCTAGCCTCTTTGTGGCACAAGATGCTCTCCTGGAAAGAATGTACCTTGAGAAGGATTGCAGTCTACATCCCCATTTGTGTTGTCCATGACTGGGAGTCGCTGGTGGGTGAGGAACTGTGGAACTAGCTGTCTCCTGATCCATCCAGAGTGTGCCCCAGGCTCTCTTCAGGACTCACACCCAATTTCTGTCCCTGCTGATATGATGGTTGTCAAGGGACAGAGAGACCCCCTGGCCTTTGGCAGCAGAACCACACAATGCACAAGTGTATTACCCCTGTGCCACTTGAACATAAACATGCCAGGAAAGTAGGCAAAGCCCAAGCAGGAACACTGCAGCCCAGCCCAGCTCCAGCCAGTTTTCCTCACAATAAGATTAAGAAGCCGACCACCCTCTCTGCAAGGCCCAAGTCCAGCTGCTTGGTAACCCCAAATCCCACGAGGCCAGAGTCTAGGAATCCTGAAAATGCCTTCCTGCCAATGGAGGGGTTTACCTTAATCCATAAATTACGGCTTCAAGCAGCAGAGCAGACCAGCTCAGTATCTGGCAGGCCCAGCTGGCCTGCCCCTGCTTCCTGAGCAGGGACTTCAGACTTCACTCAATTGAAGTAGTGGTTCAGATTATCTCAAGTAGTAGTGCACTGTTTCCCCAACAACGTGGAGAATTCTGTTTACTTCAGCAGGGAGACTTTGGTGATCTCAGGCTGGCGGGGGGGGGGGGGGGGTGTAGATATCCTGCCAGGCATGGTCAGTGTTGACTACAGCGGCCAGCCAGGGATTTCAGGGAGCAGCTGAATTTGTCCTGGTCACCCAGCCCTCCTAGATCCTAGATCCTAGATGACAGGCAGAAGAGTGTTCCCAACTGTGCAGACAGCAGCCTTTCTCCGCCTCTTGGCAAAGCTAGTTTAACCACATCCCATCTGCCCCACATGCGGTGGCCCTTTTGTGGTCATAAAACACATCCTCTTGAAAATGGCCATAGGAAGCAGAATCAGAAGAAGGGCACGGCTGCTAGGGATGCTTCTAACTGTTGGTAGAGGGTCAAGGAAAACCTGGAAGGTGTTCTTTTCACCCAAGAAATTAAGAATGCCCGGGGGAGGGGGGCTCAGAAGCAGTGGATTGTGGGGACAGCACCTTTTTGCGGTGCAGCCTCAAGGCAGGAAAACACCCACTTTCAAACATCACCTGCAACACATCTTGTTTGAAAGAGGTCATCCACTTAAAAGGGGGGAGGGGGCAATGGACATTTCTCTACTGTACAATGCCCAGGCTAAATCAAGTTATTTTTACCCAAGAGTTGTTTGGCCTAGTCACACACACACACACACACACACACACACACACACACACAAAACAAAGTTTGCTTCCATACAAAAGTCATAAACATCTAAATTTTTCTCAAAAAAAATTATAGTCAACTGTAATTTTCATTAACTTTTTTAAACTTTCTAATATAACTTTTAGCTTTTTATTCTCCATTGTGATGTCAGGGCAGCCACTATTAAATCATCTAAAACAGAAGAGTGGGTTTCCCTAACAGAATCCAAAAATCTGGATGGACATCTCAGCCCAGGCACAAAAAAAAAAAAAAAAAAAAAAAAGAAATTGTTGCATTTTCTGGTTCCAGCTATTCCCAGCCATACAAGTTCACATTCTGAAAGGAGAGAACTCTTCATTTTAAGAATAAATTATTCATGGATTCCACCCCCTTCCCCGCCCGCCTTGGGGAGAAATTTTACAAAATGAAAAGGACCCAGGTGGGGCTCTTAAATAAATTAGGTGGATCTACATGTTTTGTCTTTCCTGTCTCTCGGGAGCGTGGTGTATCCACTAAGACCTAAAATCCCTGTAAAGTGCCCTGGACCTTGGCATTCAAGACAAGAACAGAATTGAAACTTCTCCCAGAGCCTAAAGGAGAAACCCCAGCATAACGCTAAAGCAGCCGGCGAAGCCTTCCAACAGGTGCGGCCCCGCTTGCTTCCCTTTCTGCAGCCGTTGACAAGAGGCCCCAAAGGATGAACAAGCAGCAAGAAATCCAAGCAAGCACCTCCGCAGAGGAAGAATTCTGGAGATAGGAGACAGGCTTGCACCCTGCTCATCCCACACTCGTCGCGGGGCAAGGACCGACTTCCTCCTGCACTGCGACTTCCTCCTGCACTGCAGGTCCAGGCTGCTCGTTTAGGTCTGACAAAAGCATTTGTGTGTGGCTTCACCTCCCCTCATACTGCCAAAAAGAAGTGTAGCAACAAACATGAGCCACCCTGGATTTGATAGCAAAGCATAAACACACATTGCCTTTTGGGGGGCCTTCTGCCTATCTGGCAGATGGGCTTGGATCCTCCCCTGGAGCCCGCCCCAGGACACTCAATCTAGCCTCTTAGGAAACCCTCTTGGCACACATCTAGGAAAATCCACCGCAGCCCCACTTACGGCCATGGCTCCAACTTCCTCCTGCTACCGCCTCCTAGATGCTTCTAAACCTGGCAGATCCCATGCTAGTCCTTGCTCCTTTCCTCCAGTTCACACCCACCCCCAAGAAAAGAATGTTCTTTCTACCTTCCAGATCTTCCCTAATTGGATTTGATTTGTTTTAAGTCGCCATTGACATTTCCCAATGCTAACCCACCCGTTTCTACTTGGATTTAGTGTCGACTGCCGCAGCATAAACACAGAGACACCTCCCCTCTCTTAAAAAGGAACAGCGGGTTTGTCCCGGTGTTAGCAGATAAGCATGGCTATGACACCCAGCCGCTCCCCAGGTTCTCAGCGGCTGCTCTCCACCGTAAAGGTGCGCGCGCGCGCGCGCGCGCGCGAAGGAGTGTGTGGCTGTGAGTGTGACCCGCGTGCGCTCCCCTGTGCTGGCGGAGGGGGTGGTCCGCCGTCCCTCGGGGCTGGTGACGGGTGCTCAGGGTCAGTCAGGGTCCCGGGCGGCAGGACCCTCCCCCGGACCGCACGCTACCTGCAGCCGCAGGCCTCCACCACCATGTCCTCGTACTGCTTGTAGACGACGTTGTTGGCGGCGTCGATGTAGAGGATGCTGATGGGGCTGAGGCGCGCGGGCACGCAGCAGGAGGCCGGCGCCGCGTCGGGCGCCATGGAGTTGAGCAGCGTCTGGATGATGGCGTGGTTCGTGGGCTCCAGGTGCGAGCGCAGCGGGAAGTCGCACACGCCCTCGCAGTGGTAGGCCTCGTAGTCTAGGGGCGCGATGATCCAGTCGTCCCAGCCCAGCTCCTTGAAGTCCACGTGCAGGGGCTTGCGGCTGCAGCGGCTCCGGCCTCGGCGCCCGTGGCCCCTGCCCGCGCCCGCGCCCGCGCCGCCCCCGCCGCCGCCCTGCGCTCCCCGCGTCCCCGCCAGCGCGGTCCGCCGCCGCCGGCGTCCTCCGGGCCTTGCTCTCCGAGAGCCCGTTCCCGGGCCCGGATCGGGGGGCGGCTCGGCGGCGGCGGCCGTCCGGGCCCGGATCTCCCGGAACAGGCTCTCCTTCCTCAGCGTGCGGGAGGAGACGAGCAGCAGCGCGCGCTCCTCCGCGGCCGCCCCGCCGCCTCCCCCCGGCCAGCCGAAGCCCAGCCGTCGCAGGGCCAGCGGGCTGCCCCCGGGGCCGGCCACCGCGCGCAGCGCCAGGCAGACCCTGCGCGAGGCGCGTGGCCCGCGGCGGTGGCTCCGCACCGCGTCCGTCACGTCGAAGGCCTCCCAGCGCGCCCCTTCCAGGGGCTCGGCGGCCCGCGACTGCAGCAGGTGGGCCGCGCCCGCCGCGTCCGGGCAGGTGGACAGCAGCAGCCGCGGGGGGAGGAGGCCTGCGCTGGCCCCGTCTGGCTCTGGGGACCCCCAGCGCAGCACGCGCAGCTCGGCGTTCACCACCTCGTCCACGTCGGGGAGGCTGGAGACGTCGAAGAGGAAGCTCTGGGCCGGCTCGGCCGCCGCCGATTCGTCTACGGGGAAGGACAGAAACAGAGAGGGCAGTGAGAGTGAGGCCGGTACGGGCTGCCGTGGCGGGCGTCGTGGCTTGGTTTGGCCCCGCTGTCCTTGATACAGGAAGCGACCCCGACAGGACCGTGGGAGCCCCGCATCTGGGTGCCGGCAGGAATGCTGACACTCTGGCCCCGGGCAAAGCGATTCCCTCTTGTCGCCTATCCCTGAAGCTTCGGTTCCTGCACCCTGGCGACAGCCGCGCATACACACACCTAACAGCTGAGGCCCCAAGCTCCACCGCAACTCAGGACCAAACCGTAAGGTCTGTCAGTTCTGCTGCCAGCGTCTTGCGCTTGGAACCGTTCGGTCCTACTTCAGGGTAAGGGTGGCCTGAAGGACAGGTGGGCACTTTCCCCACGGAAGGCAATTGCCACTTAACTGCTGGGCTGAGCGCCCCAGGAAGCGGCAAACCTCCTCGGCTGTGCGAAAACGAACAATCCTCATTCCCTAAAAACACTTTCCCCTTTGGTGCCTTCCCTTCGACCTCGACACCGGCACAGACCACGGTTTTCCATGCAAATGGGGCCCTGAGAACAGTCCACAAACGAACACAGAAGCACCATGACAGAGACCCCTCTCCCCTCCAGGCCGCCCTGCCGGTTCGGCCGAACTGAAACGAAAGCCCAGGTTAGCTAGCGACTTTGAGGTCTCAACCCTATCTCGTCTCCTCCTGGTGCTCCGGCAGCCACCGAGGGGAATTACAGGCGGCGACGGCTGCTGCAGGGAGAGCCCGCTTACTCTTTTGCTCTGTTGTGATTTATTTCGGGCTTGGGGTTTATTTCTGGTCATGGGCCCTTTTTCTTTTGGGTGGACTCAGGCAAAAAAAAATAAAAAATTAAATTCCACCGAAGAGCAGATAAGGCATTGCTTTGAAGGGGGTCATATGGTTTCGTTTTGCCCCATCGGAGAGAGACCATGCAAACTCCCCCCACCTTCGGGGGTTTGTTCGCCAAGCATGGACTCCAGGCCCTCAGGCCTCAGGCCCTGCGTTTAGGGTGCGTGTGCGGCCTCAAGCAGCCCTGTTCTGAACTGAAGCCGGTGGTAGCAAGCTAGACAGGGGTACTGGGCTGCATTCCCAGCCCCTGCCTTCCCCTAAAGAGCTCTCTCCGCAGCTCTGCCTCGCCCTGCTTCATCAGCCCCGCTGCTTCCCTGGGGAGGGAGGGAGGAAAGGTGGCGGACCTCTGGGTCTTGAAAGGATTTAGCTGGTTTTAGAACCGCGTGCATTCAGCCAGCCCGGACAAAGTCTGATGCTTCTGCTACTTTAGGGCCCTTTCACATGTTCTCACCTGCAGTTTGGGAGCGTCCTAGCCAGGGTCAGGTCTGGAGTTTTCCCCGATTCTGTGTGCTGGGATTGGAGTCTCCTGTAACTATCCCGACACTCAGTGCAGAGTGCCATGACAGACCCTGAGAAAATGCGTGTTGGTCCTAAGAGCCCCCAGAGGACCCTCTGGGCCTGGGCTTCCAATGTATGGAAACAAAGCTGTCTGTGCATGCACAGTGTGTGTGTTTCTGAGAGGGGTGGTGCGCGGTGGCCTGGGCCTGCTTTCCCACGCTGGTATCAAAAGCCTGCAGACTGTCAGCGGCTGCTCCAGCCCAACTGTCCAGTCCTATCTGCCTTCCTTTCCCTCCTGATTTCCAAGCTAGATCTTTGGCTGGGCAGAATTAAGGCCAGAATTACTTGCATTTCCGCCTGAAATTAGTTAAATTTTCCCTATCTGTCTGCTTTAATGACTTCAATGGAGATTAATAAAAGCCAGATGACACACAGCAACTACCCCACGGCCCCACCCACACCCTACCTTTGGAGGGCCCAGCTTAGGGTAAGATGCGATGCCTGAGCTCCAAGCATCGCTTTCCTCCCCACACAGCCGAAGTCCTGGACTCCGGCCGCTGGGGCCTAGCTGCCGCAGAAGACAGGCGCCCATCCTCGCTCCCCACACCCGAAGCGGCCTGCTGAGTGGGCCCCTCCTGATACGGAGAGGCCGTTTACTTTACTCGGATACCTGCTTCTCTACCTAAACTCCCCCGAGCTTCAGTTTGTGCCATACCCCTTCTTGTCCCCCGCTGGAGACAGGGAGCTACCGCTGCTGCTAATCCCTCTTGGCGGGAACTCAAAGGTCCCCACTCTTGTCCTTCTTTCTCCTCCAAGGGCTCCAGGCCCGAAGCCACTCTAGACCCTTCCCCGAAGAAGCGGGACCTTGAACTCTGCTCGCCTGCTTGAGGTGGACCTGCCAGTGTACAAATCCAAAGAGCTACCACCCCGACCCCGTCAGCCCTTGGAGTTCAAGCCTTGACTGGCGCCACAGTCCAGGCTTAGGGGTTCGGGTACATTGACTTCGAAGGTTCTCTGCAACACCTGAAGCTAGAGTTCGTGGGGCCATGGCTCAGAACCGAATGGAGCCGAAGCTTGCCTCCCCCGGCTCGTCTCGGGCCGGGAGCAGACGGGATGGGCTAGCGCGGGAGACATCGTAAAGTACCTTGAGTCGCCTGATCTGTGAAGCCGGTGATGGTGTCGGCGCGGCCGTGCCCCGGGGCTGCCGCGGCGGGAGCCCGCCCAGCCAGGCTCCGGTACAGCGACACCATGAAGCGGTGCGGCACCACCGAGCCGTTCCTGAAACCAGAGCCCGCAGCGCGGCGCGCGGCGCGGGGCCCGGGAACCGCGTCGGCCTGAAGCGCCGAGGGGCCCGGAGCTGGGGCGAGGGTCCGCTCGCCGCCGCCGCCGCCCCCGGGGCTCCAGGCTGGTCCTGCCCCCGCCGCTCGGAGCACCGCGGCAGCTTCCAGCCCGTCGCGGGGACGGCAAGCGCTCAGCAGCCAGAGACACAGCGCGGCGGCCGCGCTCAGGTCCATGGGCTCCGCAGGCCGGCCGGCCGCGCGACGCGGGCTCCGTGGCTTCGGGAAGTCCCCCGACGCCTTTTGAACATAGTGTTTAATAATGGGGGAAGTGTGCGCAGCAAGCCGCTGCCCCCCTCCTCTCCCACCCCACCCCCGCCCAGCGCTCGGAGCAGCGCCCCCTGCTGAACGCTTGACCCGCGGCGCTGAGCCCCCCAACTCAGGCCTAGGCAGCAACTCATGGCAGGAGCAGCCTCCCCTCGCTGCGGCGCCGTGTCCCAGTCCTTGCCAAGTGAGGGCCATCCGCCCCGAGGCTCCCGCCACAACGACGTGCCCCGCCTCCTCTCCCTAAGGCGATGCGGACCCCCACCCCACCCCGCCCCAAGACCTGAGCGCTCTCCTTGGCTGGAGGATGGGGCGTCGCGCGTACCCGCCCAGTGTCCTCCCCACTCCTCTACGGAGAACACCGCCCTCCCCGCTATTTTGCAAGGGCTAGGGATGCCAGACCCGGGCCAAGGCAAGACGGGGCCCCTCCCACCCAGCTTCTTCGCCACGCGCCCTCTTAGTGGATGCTCACGAGGAAGCTACGGAGAGCAGCTAGAGGGAAATGTTTAAGGTGCACGTTTGCATGGTACCCTCTCTGGGCCGCAGCCTTCTGAGGATCGCAGTGGGATGGACGCCAGAGCAAGGGAGAGGATCTCTGACGAAGGAAGAGAGTGCCTGGAGCGACAGGGCGGAAAGGGACAGACTGCCGGAAAGGAAAAGATTTGGGCTGGGCAGGCATCTTGCGTGGAAGCAGGAGACAAACTCTTAAAGAACTTAATGAATTAGGAAGGAAGCTGGGCAGGGGACTAGCCTTCTCCCATGCAAAGTATGTCTCAGGATTCTAATGTCCAACAAAAGTGGTGACCTGGTGACCTTCTGTCTGCCGTCCTGGGGGGCGACCACATTTCTTCAAGGTTGGGAGGGCAAAAGGCAACAGGGCTACGGTACCGATATGTTCGCAGCCTGTGCGGCCACAAGCCCAGAGGGTGGGCAGCAGAGCCCCGGGGTAGCGCGCTGATGCCAACGTGATTACAGCACCGCAGGAACAGAAAGGGCTTCCACCTCCGGCCTGTGCCTGGAGGACACCTGACTCTTATCTGGCTAGCAGTGGTTCTAAGGAGTGGACTGAGCTGAGAAGAGAGGTTGCCAGCGTGTGTCAAATTAATTCAGACAAACGCTGGAGCAAGAATGTCCAGAAAATAGACAACCAACTGTCAGGCAATTTTGAGAGCCTGGACCCCTACCCCTTTATTTTAAAATTGCATTGGATATCAAACTCAAAAATCGAAGCCAGGCCTGTGAGTCTACAGGCCAAAGGGGTGCTGTCTAAAAGCCTCTTCCAGAGCAGCTTTGGCCCAGGCTCCTGTGAGGATGGACCAGGACACACACACACACACACACACACACACACACACACCACACACACACACACACACACAGCTGATTCTTCCCAAGCAATGCCTCCTCTCTCCAGGCCACTCAGGAGGCAGGGCCAGGGCTCAGTCTGGGGATGACTAGGAGCAGGAAGGGAAGCCTGGAGAGTTAGAATTAGAGGAGTTGAAAGACCTGAGGTTAGCTTAGCCTACAGCAGGCGTGTGTGCACCTGGGCCAGGGTCTGTGCTGCCTGCCCACTCAAGGCCTTCCTGCTGTTGCCCGGATGGTGGGCAGCTGGGATGACGACCTACCTTTGGTGCCCAAGTTGGGGGTCAGATGACAAAGCCATAATTATGGGTTCCCTTCTTTGGAAGCCCAGAGGGAAATAACTCAGCTAGGACAGGTCCTTCCTGGTGTGATTTCCTGCCCACCTATTCACCCCAGCCAGGAGTCTGTTTGCTCAGAGGGACACTGGGTCCTGGTACCTCACTGGCCTTCTGTCCACAGCAGCCACTCGCACCCAGACTTCCTTAGCTACACAAGTCAATTCTATGTTTAGGAAACACTGAGAGCCCTGAGCTGTGATTGTCCTGGTTCCAGATCTGACTTTGCCCACTAACAGTCTTGGCCAGTCCTCTTTACTTGTCTTGGTTTCGGTTTCTCTAACTGTATAAAGGGGAGAGCAGAAGAGACTGGGCTGTCTTGGCATAGTCGGTGATGGTTCTTGACTACATGACCTCCTTGCCACTAGGACACTTCCTGGAGCTCAGGAAGTTGGGCTAGATTGGCGATCCTTCCTGCAGTGGTCTGAGTAAGCCGCATAGCTTGTTTGAGACTCAGTGTCCTGGTCTGTGATTCAGTGTGTGGCTAAGATACAGCCTGGAACAGAGGTGGCTCAGTCACTTTGTCTCCCGTCCCCAGGACGTTCTGACCGCTAGCAGTGAGCGTAGAAGAGAAGTAGGTCTTGTGAGCTCACTGGAAAGAGCTGGAGAAGAATAGAAGGTGTAGGAGGCTCAGCACAACCTCCTGGCTATATGTAAAGCAGTCTACTACCTCTTCATTTGTACTTCCTGGTCCAGACCCAGTCATCCATCCATCTATCCATCTCTGCCTGTTCCTTCTTATAGCAACTTCTTATTCTGACGCACTCTTCTATGTGTTATGAATTCATCAGTACACAAGACAAACTCATGGAGAGTCAGGGTGGGCAGAAGAAACAATGACCAGGAACACACAGATGCCTAACGTACCATCAAGGATGTTCTGAGTACCATGATGGGAGAGGTCTTTTTCATCAACAGGGGCCACACTAAGCAGAGCCCCAAAAGAGGAAGGCATGGGGATGTCAGGGGCCTGCCTGGCTCCTTCCCTCCTCCTTCTGCTTAAGTGATACTAGCCCCTTGCCATTTCCTCCTCACAGCTGCTCTACCCTGGGATAGGGATTAGCATATCATTTTCTAGAAAGTTGAGTCACAAAGATGTTAACGCTTTGCCCAGGGTCAATGGTAAGCAGCAGACCTTGGAGTATTGAGCTGTCTAGGCTCAGCTTTTAGATTCCACTACCCTAAGGAGGCGAGACTGTAAGGGGCTTTGGTCAGCTAACCCCTCCATTACCCTCTCTGGCTCTCTGAAATCTAAGGCCAGGTGAGGACTATGAGAGAACTTCCCACTGGACCTTCTTTCCTGCTGCTGGGAGCTGGGAGCTCACTGTGCTTGGGGAACAGCCTGTAGGATCAGCAGCAGCAAAGCTCACCTGTCCTCCAGGCCTCTGGCTCCCTTGCCCAGGGCTTTCAAGGCTTATGAATGAGCACCAATCTGAGGTAAAAATGCAGAAGACAGAGAAAAAGAAGGTCAGGAAATTGCTCAGCCATTCACCCTTTGCGGTGTATATCTCAAATCTTTCTATTGAGTAGATGGACCTACAATCTCAAACCTAGCCCAGGCACACTTGGGGATGTTCACCTTGGGTGCAGGGGGCATTTGGCAACTGAGACCCCAGCCAGGAGACTTTGGAGCTGTGCTCTGCCACTGACTAAGCACACCGTGGAAGGAAATGCCAGCCTCTGCTTTGCCCCAGCACTCACTGGAAAGCTGCTGCAGCATCCCAGTAGCAGAAGGCAGAGTTCAGGGATGGTGGAGAGCAAACAAGACAGGAAGTCTTCACCTTTATTTCCATCTCTGTGATGATCAACCCCCAGCACAGTCAGGAAAGGTGGGTTCCACATTTTCATGCCCAAGTCCTCTCCCTGAGGGTGAGTTCCCTGTCTGTCACCCCTGCAGAAACTATTAGCTAACTGAGCACAAAGTCACAGGACCTTCTCAGTTATTTAGACCGCCTTTCCATGCCAGGCTTCAGTAGGAACAAACTGCTGCCCAAGCCTGCTTTGCATATCCCAGGCAGCCTTTTCATAGCAGGATGGAAAGCAGTTCTAGACGTTGCACCTGTGAGAACTTTCAAAATGGCTGTCAAAGTCAACTTGGCTGTAGAGAGTTTGCTATGACCTGAGATTATGCTACTTTAAAGCCTGGTCTTAGAGCCTCTCACAAGCAGTGCTGAGCTGGCTTCTGGGTACTGGAACTTGATGAGACCCCAGCTGCCTACAGCTGGCTTGGCCTTAATGGTCCTCCAGCCACAGCAGCTATCTAGCCCTCCTATGTGCTTACAAGGGAAGTGGAGATCCCTTAGCAGTGACCCGCTGTGCAGCCCACACTAGCCATGAGAGAAAGCCAAGTCCCTCGGAGAGAGGCAAAGAGAGGTGACTTTTAGCCTGTCACTTGGCATCACAGCCATCTGAACCCTCAAGACCTCTCTGAGTCTGGCTGACCCTTTGCTATCCACTGCAGCCCAGAGAGTCCTGGCTCTGTTCTGCCCAGGGCACAAGTGGAAGAAGTGAGAAGTGAGATGAAGGTCTCTGTCCTGGCCACTGTCGGGGACTCTACGTCCCTGGAGCCACACAGACCTAAAGCACTCAATGTGTGCTCCAGAAAGCCAAGAGACCTGAACTCAAGCCACCCACCCCTTTAGTCTCTGGCTGCAAGTCCCGCACCCTTCCTGGCTTTGCCTCCTTCCCTCCACATTGAGAATGACAACCAAATGTCAGCTGAGGGACTGTGAAAGGTGGAGGAACCGTGACAGCGGGACCAGGAGTTTGTCCTCTGTCTGGACAAGGGGGGCGGGGGAGGGCTTCCTGGCTGAGGCCTCCCTGATAGGAGATGGAAGGAGAGAAGTGACAGCAGCCTCTAAAGGCATCTGCTTGCCCCTTCCTTCTCTCCTGATGACACTGGCTCCTCTACACAGCCCCTAGGAAAGCTTCACGAGTCTCTCCCAGAAAGACCTGGGACAGCAGAAGTAAGGACTCTGACAGGTTCTGGCATACCACTAGTATATGCCCAGGGCCAGGCTCCCTCAAGCTCCAGGAATTTCCCATGCTTAACCTATAACTAGGCTGCCCAGGTTGCCCCCAGCAACAGCTCTGGCATTCACACTGGGGTCCTTAAAGCCCTGGCCCTAGGCCTCTGGGCGTGGCCTGCTCTGTGGTCCAGACCACCCGGTGAGGGAGGGGGAGGAGAGGTAATGGGAGAAGATAGAGGGTAGCTTCTTTCCCAGAGGCCTTCCTCAGGGTACATTTCTGTGCCTCCGATTTGGAGCAAACTGCAGAGGACTGGTGGATCGTGCCATCTGCTGGCCATAGTGTGTAACAGCACCTGGCTGGTTAGGCCCAGGATGATCACATCCAGTGAAATTAAAACAAAGTAAAAAAAAATAATAATAAAATAAAAATAAAAATCTTGCAGTATGGGAGAGGACCTTGCCTTCAAACCACCATTACTATGAACTTTATTTGTAGGTTTGACAGACTTGACCTCTATCCATAATCCCGGCATTCAGGAGGCAAAGCAATTTTTGACCTTGCAGCTAGCCTGGGTTGCATGATAAGACACCGCCTGTCCAAACCAACACCAGCCTATCATTCCCTGCCTCGGAAACAGGTGAGACCGTGCTGGAGGAAGCGTGGCCTTGTTGGAGAAGGTGTGTCACTCAGGGTGGGCTTTGAGGTTTCAAAAGCCCATGCCTGGCACAGTCTCTCCCTCTGCCTGTTTGTTGCTTGTTGATCAGGATGTAAAGCACTCAGCTGCTGCTCCAGCGCTGTGTCTGCTTTCTGCCATAATGACAATGGATTAATCCTCAAAAATTGTAAAGAAGCTTCCCAACTCAGCCCTTCCTTTTAATAGTTGTCTCAGTCATGAGGTCTCTTCACAACAACAGAATAATAACTAACACAGCATCCAAAATTAAAAACCAACAAGGGCTTTTGGAATCCAAGATGCCATTGTGCAATAATTTTGGAATGTGCATTCCTTGAATTGTGGTCAAAGAAGTCAGGGCTTCGGTTCTAGATACGCAAAGATTAAGGGGATAGTGCTGGTTTGTGTTTGTCAACTTGACACAAACAATAGTCGCCTGGGAGGGGGGGCCCTCAAATGAGGAATTGCCTCCATAAAAATGGTTGGCAAGTGTGTCTGAGGGACGTTTTCTTGATTAATGATTGATATGGGAGGGCCCTGAGCACTGTGGGCAGTGCCACCCCGGACAGGTGGTGCTGGATTGTATGAGAAAGCAGGGTGAGCAAACCATAGGGAGCAAGGCTGTAGACAGGGTTCCTCCATGATCTACGTCAGTTCCTGCCTCCAGGCTCCTGCCCAGGCTTTCCCTTGATGATGGACTGTGACCTGTACATAAAAACAAATCCTTCCCCCCTCCCCAAGTTGCTTTCAGTCATGACATTTATCATAGCAGCGGAGAAGCTCACCGATGCAGAGACAAAGTCAACTGTGATCTGGGAAGATGGGGCTGGAAGAGCCAGAGCCTACAGATCAGAAATGGAGACACCAGAAGGTGGGTTTCCGGTCTCAGATGAAACTTTCAGCCAACCAGGACCCAATAGTCTCTTGAGTCCTGCAATAGATCTTTTGGATAGGCAAGCTGATTCAGGTCTTGGGACCATGTGGCTAAGACCTCTGGGAAATCTGTCTGCAGAAGGAAACTCCTATGGCTGCTGCAGAGAATGATGCAACTACATTGCTCATGATATAAGCCCACATTAATTTCTGGTGAATCAAATGACTGCAGAAAACATGAACACAATAAACATATGATGGGAACGCATGCGCATTGACAGAGCTTGGATAGGGAATTCTTTTCTAGGTACAGTTACATTGATGGAGCCATCAAGGGTCATATTCACAACTGGGTTTAATATCTCGAGCTGTGCATAGAAAATATCCTAAACGCAGAGCTTACTTTAATCAGAATGGTCACACTCAACATCACCAATCTTGGGGAACACCCATACCTTGGTTCCTCTCCCACACCAGTGATGGGCTCTCCAATATGGTGCTCCCCAAGGGGCTATTCCCCAAACTCATGCACTCCAACAACATAGTTCCGGGGATTAGCTGTTATCTCTACCATTAAATGAGAGGTGATTTTTTTTTCTGTTTGTTTTTTAAATCTCAATCTGCCCTGCCAGGAGCATGAATTCTTTCTATATAACACACCTGATCTAGCACCTCTGATTTTAAATCCAGCCTCAGGAATAAAGTTCCTTCAGATCTCAGGTTCTTCCCTCCTGAACACGTTGCCTCCATGTTTGTGTCTCATGCTCATAAGATGGTTGTCTTCATTCCTAACTTGCTCTCCATCTCCAAGGTGGCCTCGTGTCCCCAGGCCTGCATCCTCATTGAGATCTTCAGTGAAGATCTTCAGTGAAGTGGTCAGTGAATACCACTGGGCAAAACTGAATCTCCTGAGCTGTGCTGATGAGCATTGGCTGGATTTCGAACAAGACGGTGGTCCCTCCCAGTTCACCACTCAGGAGGTGAGCAGATCCCTGGAGCATCGATTAAGGGTCAGAGATAATGAGCAAGTCTTCAGACAACCCAACCCAACAGAAACAAAGGGGATGCTAGGATGTGGTTGGGCAGAGTTCAGACATCCCCTGCAGACCCCGAGTGTCACGGAGGAGTGGTTCTCCCAGGGTGAGACTGGATGGGGGGAGGGTCTTGTGCAGCAGGGTCTCAGTTACCATTACCTCAGCCACAGAGGTGAGCAGGAAGCATACAATATCAGATTTAGATCCCACATTCCAGACATTGTACACAATTAGGCACTGGAGCCTGTGGGACCCATGGAAGCAGAAAACAGAGTCACAAGCAAGGAAGTGGGTCCCTTTCAAAGGAATCCTGTGGTATTCTTGACAGGTACCAGGTGTGCTGGGCTTCCTGTAGTGCACAGAACAAGCCCCAGTCACCAGGAAGTCCAGGTATTGGTGACAGGCATACCAGCAGCCTGGGACCTCACGGGGAGTCACTATGGTCTCTGCTTTCCTAGACTCTCTCAAGAGTCTCTCAAGATTCTCTCCTGGACTCTCGTAGGGGAGGTGTCATCTGGAAAAGAAGTGTCTCCTTCTCACTCAGAACCCCACATCCAAGTCTTAGGTCCCTGGGGCCTGACGATAGATTCAATGGCCTCCACACTCCAGCTCCTGAAACCTCTCTTGTCCAAAACAGACTCATCATTTTACAACTTCAGGGCTCTGCCAAATGTGCATCCACAAAGGAGACTACTATCTAGCCACTCAACTGAGCCAAACTATAGCAGCATCTTTTCAATACAATAGTTTACCTTTAATTCTTTTTTTTTTTTTTTGAGGGGACAAGGTCTCATGTACCCCAGCCTGACTGGGCCTCAAACTTGCTGTGGAGTAGATGAACTTGAACTTCTGGCTTCCTTTTCTTCAGACCTCCTGAGTGTTGAGCCTCTGGCCATGGATTTCCGTGGGGCTTGAGCATGAGACTCAGGCCCTCCTGTACGGCAGGCAAGCTGTCTAAGCACAGAGAGCTACAGCCACGCAGCGGCATCTCAACGCCTCTGCTTGTGCAAAGCCCCGATCTTCTGGCAGGGCTCTCACACCTGCCCCCTCCTCTACACCTCAGCCGCCTTTGACACCCCCCCTTCCCCATTCTGGAGTCCGCTGCGATTCTGTGCATCTTCATAGCTTAGCTTTCCAGGATGTTCCTTTGTGTACAGTTCTCTATCTCCAGGTCAGTGCAAAGTCCTGAGCTCAAAACATGGAGTGCTTCATGCCCCGACTCCTGCTTGCCTCCTCTGCTCAGGCACTACTGAGTCTTTCCTTGTCTCTAGAGCTTCCACACAATATCGCTCCTATTCTAGTTCTAGGACCAGGCTCCTTTACAAAGCCCTCTCTGACTCCATTTCTTTCTGCTATGGACAGGGAAAGGACAAAAGGGGATGGGAGGGAAGGTTAGAAAAAGGAGGGGGTGGCTTACAATGGGATAGGAGGAGAGGCCGCATTAAAATCTCTGCATTAATGACTGTGAGATGGCTCACTGAGTACTTTCCATGCAAGCCTGATCACTGAAATTCTATCCCCAGCCCAGAATCTATGGAGGAGGAGAAAAACCAATTCCTGAAAGTTGTCCTTGATCTCACAAGTGCAATGTTAATTGCACACACCCACACATATAATAACAACAACAATAATAAAGGAAGGGAGCACAATTTGTCCCTTTACCTACTTCGGATGTGGCCCAGCATCTGTAGCTAGCTGTCACTGGGAAGAGCAAGAAACTCAGGACAGCAGTTTGTACCTATCCCCCAGCCCTGGTTGCAGTCTGAACCACTGGCAGGAGACAGACAATGGCAGGTAACACCGCCTCTCTGATTCTCATGGGGTAGGGATGTGATTCTATTCCCAGTGGGTCTATGCAGCCAACGACATACAGAGGAAAACCGCCCAAGCCCTCCTCCTCAGTGCTATCAAAAGCAAGCCAGGCCAAGGTTCTGTCTTCCTCCGGAGTGCATGCAGGAAGCCTTAGGGAGAGAGCCAAAAAGAGTCTGTAGGTCTGAGCATCTGGTACTGGGGACCGCTGTGTTCACTGCATAGCCCCAAAATCTGAAGGCTCAGAGCCCCAGAGGGGAAGAACCTTGTTGACTGATTGGCTGCATTAAGTTAAGATTAAGTTAAGTTCCTTCTAAGGGAAGGAGGGTTTCTGCAGCTAATGGTTGGAGAGAGGTGTCAGGCTTACAAGATGGCTATGGGGGGCAGCCCAAGTCCTTCACTCCCCCAGGCCACAGAAGCTGCGACTTGCACGGCCGCTGCCACAAGGGGGCGGGCCAGGGCCGGAGAGGTGGAGCAGCACCCGAGAGGGGCGGGGCGCGGACGCAGCAACGCCCAAGACGCCGGGTCGCGTGACCGTCCTTCCACCCGCAGCCGACATGCAGTCCCCGGCGGTGCTCGTCACCTCCAGGTGAGCCAGACCCCCGACCTGCGTGTCCCAGATTTCCCAGCAGCCTGGTGGTTTATCCCGCGACACCCCACCACCTGCGGTGGGGTGGCGCGCCATCAAGAGTCCCCTTAGAGGATCAAACACTCAACCGAGACTCCAGGAAGGCCCGGGACTGGCGCGATAGCGCTGGCCCCGGCCTGTCCGTACTTGGGGGTCATTTCTTTAGGCCCCCAAAACCTTTCAGCGCTAGCTCTGTGTGTACCAGCCCGATGCTAAGCACCAGGGACGAGGTGAATCAAGCAAGCTGGCCCTGCAGGGGATACCCACACCAGAGTGACTGGTGCTGCGGGAGGGGAGGGGCCAGTAAGTTCCAGGTTCCAGGGGCGCACACCGCCGCTGTTGACTCCAACCAAGTAGAGCTGAGAGCGCGGCAGTTTTTCCTGAAGAAAGCTCGGAGCTTAAGCAGTAGGGTCATCGGAGAAGCCCAGCTGGAATGGAGCCTGGAAAGGCTGGGAGGGGTGTGGTCTTACACTTTTCCCGGATTTTTAAGTAACTTCAAAGTGGTGAGCTTCAAGGATAGTCTGTGTTCTGCCTTTGTTCCCCCAAGAGAAACTCTAGCCCAGATTCGAACTGATTGTGTAAATAGATGTATTTCCCCCACACAAGTTCAGTTGTACTCTCAGCTTCCTTTCTAGAAAAATATGATTCTGTTCATAAACCCCGATGTTGGAAGCTGCTTGCTCTCTCCTTAGTATGGTGAGGCTGCTGGCCACAACTGCAGTAGAAGAGCTGTTTCTACCGCTCTGTGAGTTCTTTCCTTTCACTGAGCCTCAGTTTCCTTTTCTGTAGATGGCGGTTTCATATAGGCAGGTTTGAGCACACTAACAGTAAATGCACCTGTAGGTCACACCAACCACAACCGAGACTGTGAGTTTGGTCCTGGTGTCTAGGAGGGGGAGTAGTGGCTTTCCTCAGTGCTGGCATGCCCATGGGTGGTAGCAGGCACAGTGTGCAGAGGAGGCATGCCATGTCCACCATTCTGATAGTCCCAGCAGACCCAGGGAGCTTGTCGCCTTAGCAGCCTCCACTGCAATCCCAGCACCCAGGATCAACTGTTTCCGGCCTCCCTGTGAGGCAACTCCCAGGGTCCATGCATGCATACAGCCAGCAGGTGTTTTCCAGGGGTGGGGCTGGGGAGAACCTCTTCTGTGAGCTTCAGATACTGGTCCAGGTTCTAGGATGCAATAATGAGGTTTTGCTGGAAACATGTTGGGCAGTAGGAAAATTCGAGCTGTGTCGAGGACAGCAAGTGCTGAGAAGGAAGGTGAAATGATGGGGAGGAGGGGTCAGGTGACAGATGTGAGTTTTTATGATGTTTTTGAGGGGCATCTTTCCGAGAGATGTCAGGTGAACAGGCTCTTGAGACGTCCGCCAAGGGAGAGAACTATAGAAAGGAAATCTTGAAATGTGTGCTCAGCAGAGAAGACAGAGCCACAGTCCAAAGGCCAGTGTGCCGAAGTAGAGGGAGCATGGTGAGTGTGAGGTGGCCTGGAGAGGAGGCGTGCAATTGAGGTAGGTTATGAGGTTTCAGTTTGAGTGTGATGGAAAGAAAGTGTAGGTGGGATGGCTGTATGAGTAGGCATACAGAGACCCCATGGCTGCTGTGCCCACGTTCTGCAGGCACTGGCTGGACTCCATGTGTGGTTGGAGCTGAGTGGCCACTGACAGGAGGAGGGGCTAAGGCCTATGTAGGTTCTCTGTGTGTTCTGAATGTTGAGCTTTGAGGTCTGTAAATGGTGAGGTCGTGGGGGAAGGGAAGAGTACGTCGATCAGCTGCAGGGCTACACTGTCCTGAGCTTACTGCTGGGCTGGGGAGCAGGTGGAACAGGAGAATCAGCATTTGTTCAAGTGGGTTCATTTTAAAACATGATTGACGGTCACATGGAGATGCTACGTTAAGTATGACGTGGGATGGTTTGGAGGGAAGAGTCTGGACCACAGGCAGGAATTGGCCCAGGATGCTATGGAGGACCTTGAGTCTGTGTGAAGCCTGTGCAGGATGGTGTGAGCCAGATCAGGGTGAGCCGGTAGCCACATCATAATTGAGCAGCTTGGTTTAGGATGCGCCTGAGAGCTATATCCTGCCAACTACTCAATTTAGTGATTCCAGTCATACAAGAACACACCCAGAACTGCAGGTGTTGTCTGTAGCTGCTTTCCTGTTGTGTCTGAAGGCAGAGTTGAACAGTTGCACCGAAACAAGATAGCATGCAAGGCCTGAGATATTTGTGGTCTCAGGCTACTGATTCAGTGTCCCAAGTGTGTCTTCCTTGCAAGATGCTTATGCAGTCCTAGGGACCACATCTTGAGAATTCTATGGCCGGATGAAATAGTGTTCCCAGGCTTACTGCTCTTGCCTAAAGTTAGTAATCAGGAGTTTCAAGGAGGGACGAGAAAACCTAATTGTGCAAATCCAGGAGGGACGCAGTAGTATAATTGTACTTGGACTCAGGAGCAAAGAAAGCGACAAACAGGGCTTTTCTAAGCCAGCTCAGCCCTAGGCATGAAGAGAGGGGAGCCAAGCCTGAGATGTAGCGTTTCTTGTACAGTACACTCAGCTGGTAGGATTGAGACTCTGGGGAACAGGGATAGGCTATGAGTTCAGTTCCTGGTATGGTTAACTCTGGGGACACCTCCAGGGAACACAGCCCGTGGAAGATTCCAGCTGAGGCCTGATGGTCCTCTCCCATCTCCTGCCTTTCAGGGTGAGCAAGCAGCTCCCTCCACCCTCACCCCCACCCCCATCTTGTCTCTCCCCATCACCTGCTGGGAAAGCTGGATGCTTCACCCATACCTTAGTCTCTCGTCTCACTCCCCTCCCCCATCCTTGTGACAGTGGCACCCGGTCTTGGCCATAAGTAAAGAAGTGGCCCGGCTTGGTGTAGCTCATCCTGCAGTTTGTGTCTGCCCTGGATGCCTTGGGACGCTTTCCCAGAGGCAGTCAGCTCGAGCCTGCAGGGGGATTCGTGCTTGCTGATGGGCCTCACGTGGGATGAGAGTATTGTCCACGTGTACTGTCAGTGGACACACACATTGCATATGGCATGCTTTTAGTAGGCTGTCCCAGCATGACAACCTTGTTCCCAGGCCTCGTGTGTGTGTGTGTGTTGCATTAAAAACACTCCATGGGCTCTGGCAAGCATTCGTAGCTCTCTGAGAGCAATAGGTTAGCCAGCACGTCCTTGCAGCCCAGAGAGAATGTTCAGACTTTACATAAGCAGGGGTTTCTGTACCCTAGGGTATCCACAGGAGGAAGACACTTTCCCCATGGCCTTGGATGTCATCCTAGTTCTCCAGCTGGGTGAGCTCTATTGGCTGTTCCCTTCCCCTCTCTGGAACTGAGGAAATATGTCTGTCCAGATTCCCTGGAGGGCCTCAGTTCTGCTCTGCCTTCACAAACTCAGGCTCCTCTTTTAGTCTCCATACCCCCACCTCCAAAAATGTTTAAGGACAGACTGAGAAGGACACATAACTGAATGGCCCAGCACCCAGTGCCTGGGTCCCCCTGACCTCCTGCTTACATCTTCTCATTGGTGAAGCCTGCTTACTTGAACCTGATTTTGACCTGCTTCCTTCACTTTCCAGGCAAGTTCAGAATGTCCACACAGGCCTCGACCTGACTGTGCCACAGCACCAGGAGGTACGGGGTAAGATGATGTCCGGCCATGTGGAATACCAGATCCTGGTAGTGACCCGGTTGGCTGTGTTCAAGTCAGCCAAGCACCGGCCCGAAGATGTCATCCAGTTCTTGGTGAGCAGGGGACCCTAGTCATGATACTCTAAGGGTGCCCAGGCAGATATGTCTGCCCCTCAAGATGTGGTAGCATCAGAGGGCTGACACATTCCAGGGTCTGGAGCGCTACACTGTATGGAATGATAGGAACACCAAAGTAGATGTGCTTAGAGTCCACAGGAAGGCAGACTTATAAAGAGGCCTAGGTGGAGACAGGAGTCCATGGAAGACTGGAAATGTGTAGAAGGAACAACCTAATACCTCTTGGAGGAAAGACTCTGGAAACCTCTTGGAAGAGGTGAAGGCAGGACAGCGGTTTAAATACTAGATGGTGCTGGTGGATGGTAGTGGTGCACACCTTTAATCCCAGCACCAGGAGGCCAAGAATCAAAGACAGGTGGATCTCTGAGTTGGAGGCCAGCCTGATCTACACAGTGAGTTCAGGACAGCTAGGGCTACACAGAGAACTGACCAAAAAAAAAAAAAAAAAAAAAAAAAAAAGATGGTGTTGAGCAACAGGGGAGAAGAGTACTCCTGGAAGAGGACACAGGGGCTGGGAAAAGGCTGGGAATTGGGAGCTACTGTGCAGTTGAGTATGGTCTTGGGATGACATGGGAGTAGGCAAGGGTAGATGACATGCAGGACACAAGTTGTTCCTGGACTTATGTTGCAGCCAGGTACTGTTAAGCAGGGAAGTGACTGTCCCGTCTGCGTTTAACCGCAGAGTTTAGTGGCAGCAAAGCATCGGTACCAGGAGACAGGGAGCCTGGTTCTGAGGGCAACCCAGTAGGCCATCAAGATGGGAACCAGCAGAAACAGTAGGTAGGCATTGGCCACCTTCAGCAATGCTGGCGAGGAGCAGGTTAGAAGCTGTGGTGAGCATGCAGTATCCACCCACTGGGTGGCCACAGGAAACCCAGCATATGAGTGGACCAGGCCTGAGTCTTGGGTATTTAGACATCAGCCTGGAGGTTGTGTTAAGAGCTGGATGTGGATGAAGCTCCCCAGAGAGCAGGGAGAAGAGCTAAGGAAGAAAATCCCAGAGGCATGAGCTGGCCAGGGACAGCTGAGTCTGTCATCAAGGCAGAAGGGCAAAGCTGGGTGATTGAAGTTGCAGAAGCTAAGGGAACACAGAATTTCAAAACAGGAGTGGTGTGTTCACGTATTAAATTACCCTTTGGTCATTTATGGAAGGAGTTCAGACTGGTGAGCAGGAAAGACAGACCTTGGGATCTTAGGATAAGGTAAAATGAACCAGATCCTTGGTCTGGTGACTGCAGGCAGCCAAAACCAAAGGAAAATGATGAGTGCACAGCTCTGTGACAGTAAGGGACCAAATTCTAAGAAGAAGGTGTATCACAAATCTTGCTTTAAGGGACATTCCAGGACAGTGCTATTTTTCATCTGGTCGCTCCCTAGAGCAACTCTTGGCCGAACCCAGGTGGTACGTCAGCTGACGGTTCTGCCTCCTCCGTGTTCTGTGAGTGGATCTGCTCTGAGGGGCACTTTCTGGTAGTCTGACGTGACCTCAGATGACCTGAGCTCAGTACATCCATGTCTTCAGAGATAGGAGTAGGGAAGAAAAAAAAAAATATGCTTGATGCTGGGACCTGAGGGAGGGGCAGCATCCTGGAAGCCTTTAGGGTCCAGGGCAGTTTGCTCCATCCCCTACAAAGGTCTGGATGTCAGAGTAGGGTGAATGAACCATCACCTGTGACACTTCCACGTGCCACGATAGTGCTGCTCTGTCCTACAGTAATGCCCAGGCCCTGTGGAGAGCATGCCAGTGATATGAAACACACCGTGATATCTAGGGGTGCAGTCCACAGTTATGCTCCCAAGTCCAAAATCCCCCTGGAATTTTATGAGTTATCTAGAAGGATTAGTGAGCATTTTCTGTCTATTCCTTGAAAGGATATATACTTTTTAATAAAAGCAAGCATTGAGTTGCTTAGCCATGAGGTGAAGCCAGTTCCCAGGGAGGAGCACTGTATCTGAGGTCTGGCAGACACCTCCCCTCTCCCCACCCCCACTCCCTAGCAGCATCCTCATTGCACAGACCTGTACATTATCAGAGGACAGGCAGCAGTACTGTTGGCCAGCGCTTGGCGATACCTGCCACGCAGAGGCACCAGGTATTTTTGCGTTCGAACTTCAGCTCCCTGTTGCTCTTGTCATGTTTGCTGGCAGCTGCCTGATATTCTGGCTAGAACGCAAATGGCTGAGAGCCCTGGATGGTGCAGGAAGGAACCTGGGCTTGAAGCTCCCTCCCTGCCCCTCAGCCTGCCTAGTCTTTTGGTCTGTGGCCTGAGCCTGCATGGAGGAGTTTGGCCAGTAGAGGTCGCTCACCCCTCACATATCTGGTTAGGCTGAAGCAGCTTCTCACCCTCGGCTCTTCTCTCAGGAAACCACATGCTCCTCTCATTCCAGGTCTCCAAAAAATACAGCGAGATTGAGGAGTTTTACCAGAAGCTGTGCAGTCATTTCCCAGCAGCCAGCTTGCCCCCGCTGCCTAGGAAGGTCCTGTTTGTCGGGGAGTCTGACATCCGGGAAAGGAGAGCCATGTTTGATGAGATCCTACGCTGTGTCTCCAAGGATGCCCAGTTGGCAGGCAGCCCAGAGCTGCTAGAATTCTTAGGTACCCAAGGCTTTGTCTCACGGCCCTGAGATCTCTGCAGCCCAGAACCCACCTCAGCACTGTGACTCAATGGCAGGCCCATTGCCACCCACTTGAGCAAGGCTGTTAAGGCAGTTGGGCCTCAGTGACCTCCTAGGCTCGATGGTGAGCAGGAGACCCAGCCCTCAAGGGACTAACATTCTGGGTGCCAGCTGAGTAGTCACAGAGTGACCTCCCCATGGCCTTCCTGCCATCCTCGTTATATACCTCCCTTCACTTACTCACTTGTGTGTACACATATCCCTCCTGCTAACCAGACCTGGCAGTCTGTGCCATCCAGGGAACGTTGTACTTACTTCCACACCCAGCCTGCTGGCCCAGTCCCTTGTGGGCGTCATACTCAGCCCATGTCCCACACAGAGAATATGAGTGTGATCTGGCACCCTATACCCAACACTGGAGACCTCAGGTTCTTCTGTGTAGCCTCAGGGAGCCCCCCACCCCTGCCCTCTCCTTGGCCGGCGTTCTCTATCAGAGAAGGGGTTTCCTGATGGAGATGTCGGGGGTTGTATGAACTGACACACAACCCCTGAAATGCTTAAACAGAGCCTAGCACCAGGTGATCAAAAGACCACCCCCTTCCGGCACTCCTGCCTGCCTAAATCCCACTGGGGAAGTATATGCCCTTTGTGTCCTGAATGATGGGGCCAGGCTGCACCTGTGGATGGCGCTTATCTCTCTCTCCCCTGACCTCCTTCTTCCAGTCAGTCATTTAACTTTGGTCTTTTCTAATCCTGTGGGTCTCCAGTTTTGCAGGATGAGGCATAAGTCCCATAAACCAAAGGTGAAGGGTGAAGAATGCTTTCTAAGCTTTAAACTACTGAGTAATATTTATTTATCCATTCATTCATTGTCTCATTCATTTGAGACAAGATCTCTCTGCCGTAGCCCTGGATGGATTGGAACTCACTACATAGGCTGGGCTGGTCTCAAACTCACTGAGATCTGTCTGCCTCTTCGTCCGGGGTACTGGGATTAAAGGTGTATGCCACCACGGCTGGCTGAGTGATTTTTATTTTTTAAGTGACGGTTTTAAAAGAAAACCACCCAGTCACTGCTTACACAGAGACGAACAAACAGTCCAAACCTACGCTTCTTAAACTGTCTGTGGGGGAGAACTAGCTATTTATTGCCAGCCTCTCACAGACATACGTTCACAGATACCGTGTGCTTGGAGGCTGCAATGATGCCAGGCCTCTAGGGACATTTCTGGGGGCTTGCTTCCCCTTTCCGAACTTATCATAAGCACCTGTCTCTGAACTATGCTTTGAGAAGCACTGGTGTAAGCCAGTTGTCCTGGGGTGATCCCGGGTTGTTCCGGAATCGTCCACGGACTCACTGCACTCATGCATGTGGGAGTCTGATAATACAGGCTCTTGGAGCTGTCTGTTTATGGTTAGGCCAGCGGAGTCCCTTGCCAGGACCTACTATGGTAAAACATTGTGAAAGAGATAGTCCAGTCCAAGCCTCATTTGTACACTGGCTGGTGTACAGTGGGCTGCTGGGCATGGGTTTGGTCGTTTCTGTGATACTGGGTGTTGGTGGCATGCTGACCTCTGGCATGACACAGCTGTTGCCCTCTTGATTTCTTAGCAGCTGTGACCACTTACCTGTATATGAGCTACAGGTAAGTGGATCCGTTAACCTTCTCTCATTGGGGTGGGAGGGACTCACAAGGCTCCACCCCTCCCCAGGGGACAGGTAGGCCAGATAGAGGGCCAGACAGACGGATGGATAGATAGGTAGATAGACAGATGGATGGATGGATGGACAGACATAGAGATGATAGATTAATGGTTGGACAGACAGATGATGGGTGGATGGTTGGACAGATGGATGGATTACCGAACAGACAAATGGATAAGCAGTTAACAGTTGTTAGGAGGGAGGCTTTTCTTATGTGCTCTGTTTTTAAGCCCCTCATGCTCCTGTAGGTAACCGAAGTTAACCTCATACTGTTAGACATGGGTGGACTCCTCCCTTTGTTCTCAGGTGGTCCTCTATCCGGGATGAACAGAGATTTGTCCAAGTCCACCTGAGAAAAGTTCATGCAACACTGCACCACAGAAATCCTGGAACCCCTGCCTTAGGCTTGTTCTGACATTCCCCATGGCGGCAGCATCACTTAGAGGAATAGCTCAGACTCTCTACTCAGGCTGAAGCAGAATTTGGTCCCAGGCGGTCACAAGGAAGCCCTCAGCCTCAGAACCTGGCTTCGGAGGGTGGGTGTGGTGCTGCCTCTTTGAAAGTCGACATCAAACTCTTCTTTTTCTTCCACAGGTACCAGATCCCCGGGAGCTACAGGCCTTGCCACCAGAGATCCCTCTGTCTTGGATGACACAGCCAGCCAGCCAGGGGACATCGACGAGGAGGCGTTTGACTTCTTTGAACAGCAAGATGAAGTGCCACCACCCACACTGGGCCTGAGCAACAAGGATGTGGAGAAATCCTTGGAGGAAGCAGAGGAGGAGGAGGAAGTGCTGGATCCCCTGGGTATCATTCGGTGAGACTCCACTTGTTTTCATGTCATTTGCTCAGTGGTGTCTGGGCCATGGCGCTTTAACCTGGTGTGCTTAGCAGAATTTGCTCTGCTTTCACCTCTGTATCACCCTCTCTTGTGGTTAGGCTCAGAGTCACCCACCCCTCCCTCGTCACATCCTCCATCTGAGGCTAAACTCCAACAGAGTTAATCCCAGGATAGCTCAATAGTACAGGCTCCTGGACTCGGTCTACTGGCATTGGGACTGGGTTCTCCTTCTTGCAGAGCGAGTGGTAATGTGACTGTTTGCCCTGGAACATGCCTCACCTCGTGTAAGGCAGGGTCTCCGTTAGCTCCCCCAGGACTGTTGGAGACCTCCATGAATAGGTGGGTATCAGTGCCAGCAGGCACTGACTGCAGTGACAGGACAGTCTCCTTCACAGGCTCACACACACTCCAATAGAAGAGGAAGAGGCCGTCCAGCTAGGTTCACTCCTCTCGGATACATTCAGCCAGTCAGTGAGCTGCTCCTGAGCCCTGACAGCATGGACCACCCTGTGCTGGTCACGGGGTCAGGGCACAGGCTGGAAGAGGAGACGCAGAGCCTCCAGTGGACGTGGGCTGAGAACGCAAGGGCTTCCCTAATGGAAACCTGCTACTCAGCCATCCAAGAATATTTTTTTTTTCCCTTCTTGGCCTGAGCAAAGAGCAGCTAATATTTTCTGTACTGGGCATCATACTCTGTACTTCACATATCGTGTCTCATCTGCCTCTTGCTTTGCAAGCAGCAGCTGTAGGTGAAGAATGGTGCCGGATTGGCACTGAGTTTAAGGGCTTACTGCTGGGGCCTGACTCCCAGCTCCATCTCTCAGTAGCCACAGCTCCCTGGCTCTCTTCTTTCTTCAGTTTTCCCCAGTAAATGGGCTCTTGATGGTACCCACTGCCTGTGGCTCTGGGGACGATTATCTAGGATGCGTAGATGTTAACATTAGCTGTCATCGTAAACTGCGCTTTCAGCAGAAGCAGACGAGGGGCCAGGGCACGCTTCTCAACAGTGCGACAACTAGGTCTTGGGAATTTACTGCCATCCTCACTATACAGACAAAGGAGGCCTGCCTGAAACTAAAGGCACCGGAAGATTAGCCAGAGGCGTGTTCAGTGTGATGACATTCAAAATGAGGTCCCCAAAATGCTGCCCACCCAGCACAGGCCTTTCCTTCCAAGTGTGATACGTGAGCCCTGGGCTGCAGGGCTGTGAGACCACCACAGAGGAGACGAGGCCTCACAATGGGCAAAGGTGTCCAGGCTCAGAGACAGCAGCAGGCTCGGAATCAGTTTCCTCCCAATAGCCTCCAAGAGCTGGTCGGGGTGGAGGTCTGTTCCCCCAGGGTCAAGCAGTAAGGATACCAGGGTGAATGGGGAGAAGCCTATAATACCTCCTCATCAGCCTCTCCCAGCCCTAGGGCCCAGCTTGGCCCTTATTTTGTTAAGGATAAGGCATTGTTTGAACTCCCGCCATCTGTCGTTCTAAGTAACCTTGAACAGTGCCAAACTGAAATGGACTTTTGAGGCCTCACCAGCCTTTGGCTGAAGAGCATAGTTAGCACAGTGGCTCCTTTTTTGGGTAGGAAAATGCTCCTGGGGTTGGCATGTGCTGCCTTGAATTTCTTACTCTAGTAGCAGAGCTGGGGTGGAGGCAGTGTTAGGCTGCGTGACAGCCAGCCTAGGACCACCTGCAGCAAGGGCTGTGCTCTTGGGGGACCCTGGCTCCTGCATTCTGGGAAAACAGCACCAAGAGGACTCCCGTTCCTGCCAGATTTTCTTTTAAGGACCCACATGACACCATTTGGTATTATCGGCCCTGTCAGGAATAATAAGAGATGTTTTTTCGAGAGCTTTTTTCAGTGCCAGGAACTGAGCTAATTGGCATTTGCTTGTGGGAGCTCGTGTTACCTCTGAGACAGCACTTCGGAAATCGACCGTGACCCGCAGTTAAATGTGTCGTACGTCAGGACACGCATGTATATGCTTTATATGAGACCGAGCGAGGTTCAAGAACATGGGAAGCCTTGTTGAGTGTGCTCGGTGTTGATGGCTCCGACACCGCTTTGTTTGTGAAAAGATTCATGACATGCCAAACTGCTTTCTGGGCCCATTGCCGACGCTGCATGGCAAACAGCCCTGGGAGGCTGATACTGGCATTGTTTTTGTTTTCCGTGGTAGGACACTGGGGTCCAGAGTCAGGTGGCTTGAGCTCATTCATACAGCCCCGAGTGACAGAACCAGGGCTTGAAGCCACCTGCAGTCATCTTTTGGCAACGTGGCAAGAGCTGAGGGAGGCTTTTACACGTGGGGAAATCGAAAGGCTCATCGGCCAGGGGCTTGGTCAAAGCCTGGCTCTAGTTCGGGTTCTACTGCTGTGATGAAGACCATGGCCAAGAGCAACTCGGGGAAGAAAGGGTTAACTTGGGTCAAGTTCACAAAACAAACCAACTACAACAAAAATTAACCAGGGAGCCTGGCATGTGCCAGAGCAGAGACTTGAGGTCAGGTTTTCCACTCATGGACACAAGGGCTGCCCACCTCACCCTTTGATAGAGGAGAGGTTTATAATCTGCATCCCTCTGCTTCTCTACACACACAGCACCCCCACTTCCCATCCCCCTACCCAATACACACACACACACACTCCACCCTGGACCTTTCTGGAGCAGCTTTCCTTGTGATCAGTCTCAGGCATTCCCCACTGTGGCCACAGGGAGGAGCTCGGGCTCCATGTCAGGACTGTCTGCAAGGGTGGGAGCAGTTGGCACAAAGATGGAGGCTGGCTGGCCTGGTGGCTTTTCTTTGTCTTTTCAGTCTGCCTCTGACTAGGGAGAAGTCAGCCTTGTTATACACTGTTAGGGAACAGGGAAAAGCCTACACCCTAGTGCATTCAAACGGCATCGCTTCTTATTTTCTGGGGTTTTTCTCTGACCCTGTCTGGGTGCCCTGTGGACTCCAGACATATCGTACATACTGTTTCACGCTCTGCTTTTCCAATTAATGTCCTGTCTCGGGCGCCTTTCTCTGTAATATATACTTTCCGTCTTCAACTCTGTCTTAGCATCTTGGTGGCTCTGAGAAAACTGTCTTGTGCTAAGAACAGTTTTCATTGTGACAGAAAAACAAAAAACAAAAAACTGGTCACTGGGAGCAATTGGAAGCACAGGAAAAATCCTTTTTCCCAGGAACACAGCCACTTTTTTGCATTCACATCTCCTTTAACCATGGAATTATTTCAGATCTGTGATTCCATACACTGGTATTTTCCACGTCTTTGTTAGTTTTCTCCCCACATCAATGCTATGTCTCCCCAGACTCTGAGCCAGTCCCACAGGCCCAAGCACGGTAAGTGGCACTGTCGGGGGGGGGGGGGGGGCAGCCTGCAGACATTGAGGTACCTTTCACAGGCTTTTGCTGTCACAGGCAGGAACTCAGAGAACTCATGGGTACAGAGTTTTCATTCTCTGGAACTTTTTATCTAAGTAACAGCCCCAAACACCACTGTCTGCCACTTCTTCTCCAGCCTGCTTGCTAGTGACAGAGGACACAGCTGGCTCCTGTCCCTGCCTGTCTGTGATGATGGCCTCTCAGACTCTCATGGGGAGGGCCCAGGACTCAAGCGAAGAAGACATTGCCTTGGATACTGTTTTGTCATTGTTTTTATATAGATTTTGCTTCACTTTTCTGTGAAATAACTGCTTGCGTTGAGTACAAAAATAATACTTGACATTTCGTATTTGGATGAAATTTCTGCTCTGGGATGATCCTTCAGTTTTTGACTGTCCGCAGAACCCCTGCTGGTCCGCCTAGATTTGTACACCCAGCATCCAGAATCCATGGCAGGAGCTCTGGGGATGGGGTGGCCTTCAGCCTTGCCCCCTTCCTGCCTCTAGCAACCCTTGAATAGCCTTCTTTGGTGCCTCTTCCTAAATAAATGACATTGTCATTACTCCTGTCTTGGGGACTTGGAGTCAGAGAAGAGGCCTTTGCTGGCTACCTCTTTATAACAGAGAGTATAACAGAGGGCCTGGAACCAGGTGGTGATACAGACTGCCAGGCCCCCTCAGCCCTGTGTGGAGCCCCAATCTCTGTCAATGAGCCCTACTTCCTACTGTCATGCAGATCTCAGCTCCAGGAAATAGCTTATGTGCATATGAGGATTGCTCTTCCTACACCTGAACAGCTCAGCTCTACCCCTGGGAAAAAAGGGTTGGCTGAGCTCTTGGTGGAACTTATATTCATATTCACGCTTATATTTCAGGAGCCCAGGCACCAAAGTATGCAGAAGCCTGAGAGAGGAGAGAGATGAGCAGGACATCCCCTCTCCTCCTAATCCCTCCTGCAATTCACTCTCTGCTGTCTGTCCCCCACTGAAGAGGGTCTCTCAAGACCAGATACCACAGGGCAGACACCAGGAGTACCTCCACGGTCCCAGGTCCTGACCGGCCCCCAAAGTAGTAAGGGAGGCAGAGTCAAACCATTCAGCCACCCTTACCAATGAGCATAGTTATCCCCTGCTACTGTGTTTTCCATCCGGGTTTCTATTGCTCCTGGCCCAGCCTCAGTGAAGAGACTCTAGGGACTATGGCTAGCACAGTGGTTCCTGCCCTTTTTATTTTAGTAGCAAAGGGTTCTTTTCCAGAGAAAAGCTTCACACAGGCCCCCTAATGTAAAAAGCAAACCCAAGTAGAATTGCCTTCATTCGAACAGGCATGGGAACTCGATCATTGGCTTCCAAAGTGGCCCTAGATTGCTTTGAAAGAAACCGGGACCTCTTGTAACATAGTCTGAAAGGCAGTGAGAAAGCTGGAACTCTAAGATGTCTGACCATCCCCAAAGTAAGGCTCAGCATTATGATCCCAGCTTTGAAGCAGGCCACAGGCAATTTGCTGAAGAGCTGTGGCTTCTTCAGTTGTAAAACGGTTAGAGTTTCAAAAGCAAAGGGACCTCCGCTGTGGTGGAGTGAGGGCTGTCTAGCC